ATGCAGTATTGCAGGCTAAGTCTGCTCACTGCCAGGAGTTCAGTTCTGACTGGCTAAAGGTTGACTCAGCCTTCCATCCTTCCAAGGTTGGTAAAATGAGGACCCATGTTAGTGACTCTGTAAACTGAGAGAGAGCTATGAAGCAGTATATAATTCTATAAACTCTAGATCTGCAGTTGATATAGACAACTCGTGCAGTTACTATGAATGGACAGAAACCTTAGAAAGGGGTGAGAAATGGAAATGTTGTCCTTTCTCTGGATAGTTTGGGTCTTCTGATGTCAGAGAATTATGGCAAACTACTCTGTTATCATTGATCTTTTAAGAGTATTCATAATTTAGTGTTATGTTAGCAGTGAATACAATATTAGAAAAATACACATTAAGATAAAAGTTCAGTAATGTTAAAAGAGGTTTGGAGAGTTGAAGAGATTTAGTGACATATGCTCAATTCTACGTATCCAAGGCTTTCAGAGTGAAGTGCTTAATTGCAAATGATTTAAGTAAACAAGCAAACAAATATAAAGTTCTCTTACATGTATGTATGTGCACCACGGTGGTGCAGTGGTTAGATTGCAGTATTGCAGGCTACTTCTGCTGACTGCCAGCTGCCTGCAATTTGGCAATTCATATCTCACCAGGCTCAAAGTTGACTCAGGCTTCCATCCTTCCAAGATTGGTAAAATGGGGACCCTGATTGTTGGGGGCAATATGCTGACTCTGTAAAGCGCTTAGATAGGGCTGTAAAGCACTGTGAAGTGGTATATAAGTCTAAGTGCTACTGCTATATATTTTTATGGAAATAAAAATTGTTTCACTTCCTTCTATTTTAGCCTAATTACTAATAGTATTTTCATCTTAGGAGAAAATTATGGCTTTCCTTAAAATATAGCTGCCAGATCCTTACACTACCTTTGGATAATTTTAACGTTTTCTAAGGCAAATTTAATCCATCATCAAAATATCCATTCATTCAACAATGAGTTCAGTACAACAGTGCAACAAAATTGGTCATAATTAAAACAAGTCAGCTAAGTCTTGACAACTATTTCTTTTTTATCAAAATACAGATCTATGAAACTGAAAAGAAATGTATGTTATTTTAATATGCCAGTTGTAGAAAAGGACTGAAGAAATACTAGATGCAATCACTAAGTACCAGTGGAGATATCTATCTGCTTGCTTTTCTAACTTGCAGATTTTATGTGGAAATAAATCCCAGTAGTTTCTTTGGAACTCCTTCCTATACAACCATGCATAGAGTTACTCTATGTAACGTAGGCAACTAATTCTCCCTGAGTTTCAAAAATGATTGTGCTGGGATTGCTTTTCGCTGTCTTTTATGATACTCTCTACATGACACAATACAAAATCTTTCTTTCATTCTGACCAGCTCATTTGGGAGTGCTTTTGTTCCTTTCATTCAACACCTGGCTTACAAAATTCGATAGAAAATGTGCATTTTTCAGTTTCCTGTGTAAGTGCTGGGGAAGGGAGCTATAAAAAAGCTGAATACCAAGAGCACAGGGATGATCAAGACATACCATTCAGCAACTTGGTGACCTACTTTTTATTAGGGTAATTACATTTTTGAAGTCACCATTTTGTTTGTAAAGCTACACTTGTAGGATGTCAGCAAATCAGCTGATCAGCTAAGAAGTTTCTGAATGTCTTCAAAGATTGGCAGAAACATGTAAGAGACTCTGACCACAATAGTCAAAAATCAAAACTAAGAAGAAGAGAAAGGGGAGTGATACAAGTAAGTCAAAGAAAATATAGCTGGCTAAGAAGAGAATATTTATGTCAAATAAAAATAACTCAGAATGGATAAATAAAATAACGATGTGGGATAGCTGGAGCAATTATAACAATGACAGTGGTGCAGTAACAATATGATAATAATAGTAATAAAAAAACAAAAGGAGTACCAATAGAAATAGGCATCTTGGATGCAGTCATAAAGCAACTAGAGCACCACTTAAACACCATCAGCATTGACAAAATCACCACCAGTCAATTACAAAAGGCAGCTGTACTGAGAACAGCTTACATCCTCCTATGATACCTTTAACATCATTAAACATCCACAACTGTCTATCCCAGGATCTTGGGAAGGGTTCGATAGATGGACAAACATGCCAAATCCAGTCTGATATCAGACTGCTTGTGTGATCAACCATGGAATAAGTTAAAAGTTGTTAAAATGTTGAAAGCAGTGTTTAATATAACACAAGAGTTCAGTAGGGTTCAGTTTTAGAATCTATCAATTTCTGGGGTCATCAATGGCATAAAGTAGGTTAGTGGCTTAGGTGTTGGGCTGAGACTAGGCAACCCAGCTTTAGATTCCTAACTAGAGCACACCCTGTGATTTTGGTTCAATGCCATGCTTCAGTTCAGTCTACCTGCGTGCACGGTGTGCTGAACACAAAATGACATTTTAATGTAACAATAATGGTGAAAACTGTAATATTAATATGATTGCTTTATTTATGTGGTAGAATCTCCAGCTAGAGTGGGGGGGGGGAGCTAAATGTATAGTGGGGGCTAAACTTTCTGCAGAGCAGAAAGCAGCACAAGCCTTATTTCCTACAGAGTCCCTGAAGCTTATCTGATCATTCCTAAGAAAATGCAGTCTGGTGAGATTCTTGTAAATAGGCATTGCATCAAAGAAGTAACTTTAATTAACTCTGAATATGGGCCAGCTTCTCTATGCCTGACAATCAATTAGCTACTCTTTGGTGGAAGAGAAAGCTGTTCTAAACAGGAAACATGTTCTTAAAATGTCAAACAGCTCTTTGAATTATCTTCTTGAGTTTCTGCCTTGTTGTTTTACTTAGTGTCCTGTAGGGCGGAAAATATCATGCAATTTTCTGGCAATTTATGCAAGAGAGTTTATTTAATTTATTTATTTTAAAGAAGGAGAGAATCTTAATGAATTTCTCACATGTAGATGGAGTATGGTGTTCTCACACTTGCTTATGTTATGAATGAGAGAATGAGAGAGAATTAAGAATGTTATGAGAGAGAGAATGAACATCCTGTCTTTTGTTGTCCAATCATCTTTCCAATAGTCTGCAACTTTGCTTCCCATGCCTCATTTCAAAGTAAGACACAATGAATGTCTCTTATATAGTTTTTCAAATTGGGATGTATGGCTGCTAGAAAAAGTTAAAACAATGGAAAGATGCAGAAACAAAAAACAGTTGCAGTTATGCTGTCCATCATTTCAACAATACGGTGAAAATGCCAAGGTGTGTGTGTGTGTGTGTGTGTGTGTGTGTGTGTATTTGCTTTCTTATGTTTTCGTGGGTATTTATATGTATGGTATTTAGGTTTCTTCAGGTATTTTCCCACGTCTTAATATTTGTGCTTTTATTATAGCGACGTTTTGGCAGAATCTATCTGCCATCCTCAGGCCTATGTATTGGGTTCTTTTTAATCTTGTGTGTCAGGCTTGGCAGCCATTTTTTGTTTGAATTTGGTGCTGGCTTTCTGCTTTATTTGAATGTTTTTTTCCTCATCCTGATTGGCTGGGAGTCTAGGTCTGTTGTTATTGGTCTTCGAGTTGCTGTGTTCTTGATTGGTTGGCAACATTGTGTTTTGTGCATTGGGGTTTCTTCGTGCAGCTTGGTTTCTTGTGAATGGCCGATAATTATTTATTAGGAAGCTAGGTTTTATTTGGGTAGCTGGCTGGGGCATATTTGGGCTGGAGGTATTGGGGAGGGGGGTCTGTTTGTGTCCAGGTGCTTGCCTGGATTGTTGTATAGAGATTTTTTTGTTTGTGAGTGCAAGCTTCCAGATGATTGATAGTCTGGTGGAGTCATCTCTTCTATTCATACTTTTATCAATTTCTATGGCTTCTCTCATGATTCTGTAGCCAGGGTTTTTTATAGGGTTTTCGTGCCATTGAAGTCAATTTTAGAGAAGAAAGTTGAAAGCGTGGAAGCTATGGAAGAAGGGGCTTTTCATTTAAATGGAAATTTAAGTCTTTTGTACCATGGTTCTTCTACAGTACTTTTCTCGTTTTCTCAATATATTCAAAAGATGGTTTGACTTGTTCTCCAGCAGTATAGCAATAGAATTTAGACTTATATACCACTTTATAGTGCTCTACAGCCCTCTCAAAGCGGTACTTAGTACTTAGCTTGCAGTACTGCACTCTAACCACTGCGCCACCGAGGCTCCATATGCTATTGAAATGAGTATCATGTTGTTCTAAATGTGATGATGGTAGATGTTGGCAGCTTATAGAGACTATTAGGGACTTAAATTATATTCACTTCATAGTGTAAGAGCAATAACACTAACTAAATTGATGGTTAATTTTCTATCAATTTTTAAATGTTTACCATCTTTAGAAAATGAATGGATTGGTACCACATCCAGCAAATAACCAATATTGTCTTTGAAGATCCTATTTAATCTATTACACTGATCATATTCTATCCATAAATGCATAAATGGTACCATGGTATCTACATACAATTCACTAGCATCTTTTTTATGGTCCCCAGAGTCTGATTTATATTGACTGTTTCCAAGTATGATTTGATTGCTTATTGTACCCTATGACTATCATTAACCTTATGATTCTTGACTCTTGACAAATGTATCTTTTCTTTTATGTATACTAAGAGCATTTGCACCAAGACAAATCCCTTGTGTGTCCAATCATACTTGGCCAATAAAGAATTCTAAATATAATTTTACACTGTGAGAACTGAGAAATACAGAGCAAAAATTCTTCCTTCTCCTTTGAAAATACCTGAAACCCTTCCTGAAATAAACAAATCCTTGAATCAATAAAATTATGTGTTATTGCTCTCGTCCTTTATTTTCACATTCCACTCTGAGGCAGATTTGAAACTCAGCAATTGACAGTATTTCCATTGCTAAAGACAATAAGTTCTTAATTAACTTCCTTCCTTTCCTTACCATTCTGACTTCACAAGCTTAAAAGAACATCTGAAAAAACACAATGAAAAATGAACAATACTTACAACCATACCATTTAGGGACACCCAGCAATCTTCTGGGAAATCTTGAAGCAATGGGACCAAGAATTGAAGGCAACCGTCCCAATGGCAAAGAAGCAACATCATTCCAATGAGATTGAAGATTCTCACCACAGCACTGGCTAGATCATAGGTCATGTGGAAAATCTGCAGGTAAAATTACAGACAATACGCAGTCATCAAAACCAAGATTTTACCATTGAATTATGCCTCATTAAGGAAAACCAATAGTGGGTTGAACTGTCCAAATCCTATAAAGTAGTACCATCAAGATTATATTGTGGAAATAAAATCCTTAGAGGCTGAGCAGAATTGAGAATAAAAGACAATCATTCTGGAAAGGCAATAGAACACTGGACAAATTTGTATTCATCCATTTTGTTTATATAAGTTTGTCCTAACATAAACCAGCTACATTAAATTAACATATAACTTCAAACGAATGTCAGTAAAGAACCATTAAACCGTTATTGCTTTTCTTTTTTCTTCACTTGATTCACTTTTTAGTTTTACATTTTTTAATTAAAGATAGGTCAATAATTTATTATATGGATTTCTTCAGGATTTGTTGAATGATTACAATCCTACCACACTGAAGTAGTTGAAGCATGGCCTGGAACACTCAGTACAAAAGTATCAGAAGGACAACTCTAAATTCAAATAGTAGCCATGTCTTTTATCACAATGAAATATAAATACTAGAGGCTCTTTTCATAATTCATGAGAAAATATTTTTGCAGGCATCATTGATTATGAGAATGTTATTTTACTGGAATGGTGTGATCAAGATTTATTTGATCAGAATTATCAGAATGTATGTCTCTCTGTGAAATGTAAATGGCCAAATAATGTAAGGTATAATAGAGACAACCATGCTGCTCAGAGGTGGTATTCAGCAGGTTCTGACCAGTTCTGGAGAACCGGTAGTGGATATTTTGAGTAGTTCAGAGAACTGGCAAATACCACCTCTGACTGGAGATTTTACACTATCCTTCCCCTGCCACGCCCACAGAACCAGTAGTAAAAAAAAATTTAATCCCACTACTGATACTGTTGTATTCTATGATGGAACATGCATGTTGCAAATTAGTGTTGATGATATTTACTTAAAAGTGTTACTCAAATTATTAAATTCAAAAAGCACTATATCACTATAATATCACTATAATATGGAGAGCAACAATATGCATCTGAAAAGTTCATATCCTTTTCCTAACGTCCAAACAAATGTAACCACCCATTTTTATACCTAAGGAAAAAAGCAAAGTTATTGGAGAACAATAATCTGTAATATATAAAGTAATAATATAATTTATCATTCAGTAAGAGGAAAAGCATGTTTTAAACACAGAAACGAAGAAAAAGAAGAAGAGAGAGCGCTGAGTGATTGGCCCAATTTGTCTAAATTTAAAACTGAGCTTGGTGTAGAAGAACCATTTAGAAGGAGCTTAGAGAATCAATTATAATCCTATACTGAAAGAAACTCAGTATACAAGGAGGGTCAGAGAGAAACTTAGTCAGGCTTTCAAGGTTTTGTTATTATAGGGTATTTTAACAAAACCTTGAAAGCCTAAGTTTCTCTTATCATTCCTGGTTTTCCTGTAGACATAAGACATGAATGTCACCTTCAATTTCCTAAATTATTATTATTATCATTCTATGGATTCCTCACCACAACCGCAATTTTCAGCAGTTTGAAAAATAGATTAATTGTGACATGACTTTCAAAGAAGGAGAATTTTAGTGAAATGATCATATGTATTCTTAGACATAATATGAGATGGATGAGGAGTGGAAATTAATGCCCTGTCTTTTATTGTATACAGGTCATCCTAGTTTACCATGGTTATTCAAAGTTATGACTGAAAAAGGGGATTTACAACTGGTCTTTGAAGTTATGGTTGACATAGCACCCCTGTGATTGTGATCTGGCTATTTGGCAACTGGCTCACATGACAGTTGCAGAATACTATAGACACGTGATCATCTTTTGCAACCTTCCCTGCCAGCTTCCCACAAGCAAAGGCAATAGGGAAGCCATCTGATAAGGCTGTACTGTGCTCTGCTAAGTGGCTTACAACCAGCCCTACCTGGCCCTAGCTTTGTGAGCCACATGCCACACTGCCCTGCCCAGCAACAGCCATCCTTGGTACTTGCTCATGCCTTACCTGCCTGCTGGTTTGCTTGGGACTCGTGATCCTTATTTAACAATGGCAATAAAAAGTGCTGGACTTGCCACTGCTAAGTAATGCGATCATGTGACAACAAACTTTATGCCCATATTGTTTATGGAAATTCTGGTCCCAATAGCTGAGGACTACCTGTAATTTTCTCATTGGGTGACTGCTGTCTTCCTAGCATACCACATTTCAGTTGAGTCTAAAGAAAGCAGGAAAAATGTAATATTAACTCCTCCCGTGGGGAAGAGTTCAGAGTAATGGAAAGTTATATAACAGAAAGTGTTAGTAGCACACTCTTTTCTATTCTAACAACACAAAAATGTAGCAAAATTCAAAAGAAATTACTAAGCACCCTGACAATAATATAAAAATACAGGAGATTTGTTGTAGGGGAATATTTTGGCATAGTTATAAACTATCATCTACAAACATTCATACTATTCTTAGATTAAATATAATATAGTTTGAGCAAAACTGATCTTTTCAATGTTTTGACATTTCTGACTATTCGGAATTTGACGTTTCCAAAGTTTAGGCTTTTTAAAAAAGTAACCTAGAGAACAACTGTACAACTGCTTTTATATTGCCTATAGCGTTTGATGGTTTGGAGAAAATGCAGTATTTAATGGTAAGGAGAAGGCAATCTAGCAGCCTTCTGCTAATATTTATGTATATTTTTCTTGATTACCCACTACTTTAATATACCATTAACTTAGCTGGAGTGACTACAAATATTCTAGACTAGCTGGGTGACTTTGGTTATTCTCTCTCAGCCAAGCCCACCTCTTCTTATTGTTAAAAAAAAAAAAATAGGAGAAGGAAGGAGTATTTGGTATGCTTATCATCTTGAGTTATCTAAAAAATAATAAAGGTGGCATAAAAAATAAATCTATTGATGTGATAGTTGACTGATAAAATGAATAAGCCTGACTTAATAATTTGTTAAAAACTGAAGCTTTTTAAAATTAAGCTTTTAAGAACTGAATCTGTCATCCATCTACAGACATATGCTTACACTCTGGAATATATTTTTCCTTAAAAATTACAGAATTGATACATTTTTTGCTTGGAAAACTGTACAAAATACAGCAAAAAGGATTTTTTTTAAAAAAAAACTGTAAGTATATATGTTTCATTCCCATGAGTAAATCTGTAAAGTTGCAATTTATACTGCAACTTTGATGTTAATTATGATATGGACGGAAAACATCACTGAACTATAAAACACATTTGAAATTTGCATGGCTGAAATGAGAAATTCATTTTAATGTATTTGAAAGCATAAAATAACTTGTCATGCTACTTGAACCCTGGAGATTTACGGTATGTTGTTAGCCTGTCACCCCTGCAAATTCTGAATGGTAGGCCCGTCAAATCTGGAGGGTACCAGGTAGAAGCAGCTGTATATATGTATCACTGATATAAGGTTTGAGATAATGTTAAATATAAATTTTAGCTCAGTTTATAATCTCTGTCATAACCTTTTAAACTGAGACTTTAAAATAAATCTAGACATTTTCGAAGCCATAAAGTTGCCAATATGCTTCTGTGCACAGTAGCATCTTTTCCGAGCCATTTGTTTCCTTAAGGGAAAATCAAGCCTTCGTAAATCTTCCCAGAGACTATTCTCATTCCTACAGGCGACGACTCATTCATGTACAAACCAACAAATTAATCCAACCAAGGAATCACATCCACATTTTTGAGCAAATATAAGACATATGCTTGGGGTCACAAATGCCTTATAAAACCAAACTAATTACACCACCTAACCTCTTTTTCTAAAGTTCACAAATCTTTTACTACCCAACAGCTATGTGTTAATTAACGTTGTTAACTAATGTTAACAACCCCTAAACTGATTTGACATTTCAGATTTGTAGGTTTTTTTTTTCCCCTTGCAGCCTTCAGGAGCTAGTAAGAGGTAGCCTTGTATGGCATTATCAATATTGAAAGTGTTCAAATAAGGGTATCTCAAAGGCGATGCTGTTCTCAAACAAATTTTGAGGAAAGAAAGATTCTGTTCACTGACAGGGCACTGACAACAAGGGATGTATGATGTTCCCGGCCAATGAGGGAGATAAATGGATTTAATCCTAGCAAAAATGATGAAAACAATGTGAGGGATGACAGGGCTATTAACTCCCTCTGCACCCCCAGTTCCTGTGGTTCAATTTCTACATAGTGAGTAGTTATCCTCCTGTCACTATCCAAATAACCAGGGTTTGCTAATGTAAAACCTCTGCATTATGAAATTGTGTTTTTTAAAATCTCTTTTTAATGTCTATCTGAATTTTTTAAAAATTGAATATTTCCACATTAAAGTACAAACTGCCCTCCCCCCACACACACACATTACAAAAATAGGGCACATTTTACTTTTATATTCACTTCTGTTACTTTCTAATGCATCCTATGAGGCATGGATATGAACTGGAGCAACAATTGCTGTAAAACACAGTGCAGATGTGACTGCATGCACACAGCTATATTGAGCTTTGTTTGTGCAGTTTTATTCTATCATTGCAGTTTTATTCTATCATCAAATTTATTCTATGTTGAATATTGAACTGAACTTGGAACACTGATCTGGGATTTGGATAGCCATGTATCAATGCACTGATGTCTGTGGTAGTATCAAGGCAGGGACCCAAGGAAGAACAGAAATTAAAGAAACTGAAACCAGCTGCAACAACCCTAACTTCCAATAACTGAAAGAGTTGAGGCCATATCAGCTTTTATATAAACAATCGTTTGATGAATAGGTGAATTTGGACTGTTGAATTAGTGATTAGTAGACATGGGGAAATGGACAAGAATTTTCTGAGGGTTTAGGATTTATCCTTGTTTATTGCATTTTAATTAAATCCATAAAGCTATCTTTCTGGAAAGTCATTTAAGAATTGGATGTATGGATGGAGGGAGGGAGGAAGAGTGGCAAAAAGGGATGGAGGGAGGGATATATCC